TCACTCTCTGAGCAGGCATTCGTGTTCATGATCTTACCCCTCCACAGGCACTAATACTCTCGTAACCAGTCTGTCAGGTGGAAGAAGAAAATCAGCTTATTGACGCAGAGGAGAGGATTATAAATGAGATAGGTCTGGTGGCACACTGGTTGCTTTGAATGTAAATAGACTTGTCGTGTTTGAAGAGCAGAGAAATTTGAGAGCGCCATACTTTAAAAGCGTCACCTAAGGATACTCACTATTAAAAATACTAATGACCTACTAGATTTTATAAGAGGTATAAAATATAAAAACCACAAGATAATGATGACCCGTTAAAAAACCTTAATTACAGAGTGCTGTGTTCAGTATTAAGCTTCACACGACATGGAGAACGCTGATGTTTAAGAGAGGGGACATTGTAAATTCACTAGAAAGCTGTCCGATTTGTGGAAATGCATTAATGTCGGTACTCTTTACATCAAAGCATAATGGATTAATGGGGCAATATGATGAAAGTACTTTCAGTTGTGCAAACATGGACTAGGTAGTTAGAAAGAGGCCTTTTTCAATAGCTGACATCAGACAACACAGATGCCAAGGTTAAATGCAAGAGCAAAAACAAGGTTACTGGAAAAGCTCAACAAGTCTGGCAGCATCTGTGAAGGAGAAAACAGAGTTAAAATTTCAGGTCCAGTGACCCTTCCTCAGAACCGGACCTAAAACGTTAACTCTTTTTACCTTCACAGATGCTGCCAGACCTGCTAAGCTTTTCCAGCAACTTTGTTTTTGTTCCTGATTTAAAGCATTCGCAGTTCTTTCAGTTTTTAAATGCAAGAGATTTGGTATGGGGCAGGAGAAACCCCTTCACAAAGTGAGCACTGCAGATGCAGAATTCACACCCTGGATTCCTGGTTGAGGAAGAACCTGTCAACATTCAGGTTTAGATTGGATAGAAGGAAACAGAAAAATGGGTTCAAGTGATGTGGAGGGCAGGGTGTGTTTTTGTGAATGTGACTATTTACTTGCTCAACAAACACAAACTGATTGGATTAGAAGATGAGTTTCCAAGCAGCAACTTATCTACATTTAAAATAAAGTTATGATCAGGCAAATTTAAATCAAACAGCAAAACTTGTTTCTAATAATAAGTACACTATATATATTGTCACGACCCTGGTGGGAATAGAGTGCTCTAAACCTAGCCCCACTATTCCACGAGTTGACACAAATCTGAAATATGAACTACTGAATCCCTAGATGGTTAACATCTGACTGTAACTATGATGTAAGATCAAAGAGACTCACACCAAGTATCAAAGAACAAAAAAGCATTTATTAGAACAAACTTATTCTTCAACAATTGCTAATATGCACATTTAAACCACACCCCCTTTGAATCCAAACACATGCACACAATCATTCACACACTGGATAGACAAGAATATCACATGTTGGAAATATAGGCAAAAAAAAGTCTGTGGATCAGAACTGAGGAGTTATTCTGAAGAAGGGTCACCTGACTCTAAATGTTAACTGTTTTCTCTCCACAGATGTTGCCAAACCTGTAAAGTTTCTCCAGCAATTTCTGTTTTTGTTTCGGATTTCCAGCATTTTGCAGTTCTTGGTTTTACGCAGACAGACGCTGGGTTGCAAACGGATTCCATTAGCAGGACAATGGAAAGCAGCTGTCCATAAGTACAAGAAATGTTCGTATGTCAAGTCTTTAAATTTTAAAACCATAGTAGGAGACTGTGTTCCTAAGTACGATAGTTTGTAAGTTGGATATTCATAAATCAGGGACCCCTGTGAAACAGAGTGACCTCGCTTGCTCGCAGACATTTTGAATGATAGTAGTTGGGGCTCAATCTCTCTCCATTCAGTTCTTGACAAATTGTAATTAAGCCAATCCACAAACTGCCGTGTTCTTCCAGCCTCCTTTTGGTGTACCACAAACTGCTGTTACACAGTTAATTTTTTTCTTGCAAAGACACCTAGTGCCAGTGTAATGAAAGTATCAAAATCCAGCTTCCAGAAGTTATCTGCTCTTGTGTAACCACTAAGTGACCATACACTTCCACTTTTCCTTCACGTTGTAAAGAAAACTGATAATCCAAGTTTTCATCTTCCAGTTTATTTTTCCAAATAAAATATCAGTATCTGAACAGAAAGAGACTTTTCAATGTCCAATACAATACTGGATTACAGTACTGGTAGACACAGGTCTTACTACAAAAAAAAACTGGAGTATGGATCTGTTAAGGATGGGTCTGTCACTGTATAACACAGGTACAGTACTGGTGGGTATTTGTCCATCACTATACAACACAGGTAGAATACAAGTGGGGACAGGTCATTCCCTGTATGACACTGAGGTACAAAACGGTAGTATGGGTCTGTCACTACATAATATTGTGGTACAATACACTGGGGTACAGTACTGTGGGGTCAGGTCTGTCATGGCATAACACTTCATTGTATGGCACTGGGATGCAGCTCTGTTACTCTAACACCTCGATATATTACTCGCGGTGACTGGTCCGTCACTGTGTTACTCAACTAAAGTCACTGTATAGCACATCGGGTGCCATACTAGTGGGCACAGGTCTGTCATTAATCATGGGAGCAATCTGACATAACTAATAGGAACAGGAGTAAACCATTTAACCTCTTAACTCTGCTACCTCATTCACTGAGATCACTGTTGATCTATAATTTAACTCAATATAATTGCCATTGTTCCAGATGTCTGAAAACCTCAGTTAACAAAAATCTAACAATCTGTTTTAAGACTAGCATTTGATCCAATATCGAGTGCCATTTCAGAAGAGAGTTTCAGTGTAGATATGTACCCTATCCTAAACTGCCTAAGAAAAAGTTTTTCTAGTTTTCCTACTGTCCATCTTATGAGCAAAGGCTAAACAGGCTGGGACTGTATTCACTGAGTTTAAAAGAATGAGAGGTGATCTCATTGAAACATACAGAGTTCTTAAGGGGCTTGACAGGTAAATCTGAATGGATGTTTCCCCTCATGGGAGAGTCTAGGCCAGAGGGCACGGTGCAGAGTAAATAGACGCCAATTTAAGACAGAGACGAGGATTTTTGTTTTTCTCCCAGAGGTTTGAGTGTCTTTGGAACTCTTTCCCACAAAGAGCTTAGGAGGCAGGGTCCTTGTGTATATTTAAGGCTGAGATAGAACAGTTGGGAAATCAAGATTTATGGAGAAAACTCAGAAAAGTGGATATGAGGAGTACTGGATCAGCCATGATCCTTTGAATGGTGGAGCAGGTTTGAGAGGCTGAATCGCCTACACCTGTTTCTATTTCTTATGGTCATGTAATCTTATGGTCTTTTACAGCATGCACAATTTTCCAATCTGAAGTAATAACAGGACATCTAAAAATGTTCTTATAAACTTATTAATAGAGAGATGGAAACTATCCATTCCTGGGGATACATCACTTTTTAGTAACGAGAATTCTTGCATTTCTGTTAACTAGCTCAAATTAATTCCGTAAATTTTTGTCTCTGAATCAATCGGTGATTCTTTTAGATTCCCAAGTTACTGACCTCTTGTACTGTAAAAACTGATGACAAATAATTATTCAGCAGGCCCATTCTTCTTAGTGGCCACGCTTTCCACAATGAACGTTTATGTGTTAGATTTTACTGCAGATCTTCATGGACATAATGTAAAATTAGCTGAAGCATACTAACATTTGCGCAGACAATAGAATTGTTACTCCAAGTATGAAGGTTTGATTGAGTCTGAAATTCAGTGAGACTCCATTTCTCCAGGTGTCAGGGTTGGCTTAGGCTGTGGATCCACACTTCATTTACAATGCTTGTTGCTATGAACCAAACTCACATATATGTTCCCGGTGTAACGTGAGCAGAACCCAAGAGTTGTTTTTTTACTGAAGAAGGGTCCTGACCCGAAACGTCAGCTTTTCTGCTCCTCCGATGCTGCCTGGCCTGCTGTGTTCATCCAGCTCCACACCTTGTTATCTCAGACTCCAGCATTGGAAGTTCCTACTATCCCCAAGAGTTGTGACACTGTGCCATCCACAAGCATCCCACACCATGAGCATGATAGTTGCTATCTTCCAGAGAAGCTCAGACATCCACACGCTGAGGAAGTGAGCATAAACTTAAACTGGGCAGGCAGGTAGACAGACAACTCAAGTTTTGGTCCCCAAATTAGATGGCACAACTAACCGCAGAGACCTCAAATCGTGTATCTGACCACACAGACGATGTATCTGACCACCGTCAAGCTACGTATATCTGACCACAAGGACCCCAAATCAAACTGGGTATCTTAATGCACCTACCCCAAAGCACGCTGTCCCCAAAACAAACTGTTTCTTGCCACACAACCCCAAGTCAAACCAGATAAATGACCACACAGATTCAAAATAAACAATGTAAACGGCCGCACAGACCCCAAATCAAACTGTATCCGAACACAGAGACCCAAATAACATCGTGCATCTGACCACACAGATCCCAAATCAAACTGTGCATCTGAGCACTCAGAGCCCAAATCAAAGTGTGACCCTGCTTAAACACAGTCAATAGCTTTCAGTTGGGTGAGCTTTTCTGGGTCCCATCAATAGCATCAATCTGCTTAATATCTACGAAACATCAGAAAGCCAAAACATTCCTCACAAAATATAAATCGGGAGTGATTCCTGTGGTGTTCCAAGGCACCACATTGGTCCCAGACACTCCAATTAAATGATGCATAAATGCTAAAATAGCACAATGAGTATTTGCTCAGCACTTGACATCATAACAGTTGTGAAATTAGAATTGACCATTTGCAGCGAATCTGGTTAAAGGGAGACATGTAAGAAAGTCCTGAGAACATCCCATTCCATCCCCAGTGCCAGAGAAAGCCAGCACTTTCACACAGGCTGACAGAAATCCACAACATTTCCAGACAGGAACTTGCCAGGGAACCAAACAGCAAACCAAGGTCTCCAAAATCATTGTTATAGAATTAAAATGGCACTAACCCGGGCACTACCACGACTCCCCACTGAGGTCCAGTCATCTTCATCAGATACCTGCACAAGAAACAAGAGTTTGAAAAAAATAAATGGTACCTTCTGAGCATCTGGAAATAGAAGGAACAAAGCAGATGAATGAGGGGAGACACACACACACACACACATACAGAGTGGATGAGAGAGAGACAGAGACACACCAAGTGAGAGACATAGAAAGAGAACATGCGAGAGAGAGAATGGTAGGAGGCAGAGAGATACACACACCCACAAGGAGTGAGAGACAAAGGGAGATGTAGACATGGAGAAGACTGCAACACAGAAAAAACGGCGGAAGAGAAAGAGGGACAAAGAAAAGGGGGAGACACAGACAGAAAAGAATAAGCAGCAACATATAAATTATGCGAGCAAACTAGAGCGGAATATAAAAACTGATAGTAAGGACTTCTTTAAATGTATTAGAAGGAAGAAGTCAAAATGAATTGAAGGAGACAGTTATAGGGAACAAGGAAATGGCAGTGAACTTAAACAGATCTTTTGTATCAATCTTTATGGTGAAGACACTTTGAACATCCCATTAATATTAAAGAATATGGGGGAGGAATTAAATACCATCACCATTACTAGAGAACTAGTAATAAATGGAGTAATGGGGCTAAAGACAGATAAATCCTCTGTTCCTGAAGGTTTGCATCCTAGAATACATAGGTTGTAATTTGCCAGAACCCCTTGGAGTCTGGGGAAGATTGGAAAACTGCCAATGTGACACCACTATTCAAAATGAGGGGGAGGCAAAAAGCAGGTATCTACAGGCTGATTAGCCTAACATCTATTGTTGGAAAGATGTAGGAATCAATTATTAAGGAAATAATAGCAGCACATTTGGAAAATCATAATCTAATCCAGCAGAGTCAGCATGGCTTCATGAAAGGGAAATTTAATAGAGTTTTATTTTGAAGAAGTCTCAACCAGAGAGAATAGATGGGAACTGGTAGATATATTGGACTTCCAGAAGGCATTTGATAAGCTGTATCACAAAAGGTTAAGTCATAAGAGCCCATGGTGTTGGAAATAGTATATTGCCATGGACAGCTAATTGACTAATTGGCAGGATAAGAGTTTTTTTTCAGGGGTTCCACAGTGATCAGTGCTGGGTCTGCAACTGTTTACAATATATATTGATGACTTGGAGGAAGGAAACAAATGTACTACAGCCAGATTTTCAGATGACACAAAAATAGTTGTAAATGCAAGTTATGAGAGAGGTATGAATAGTTCATAGTGAGACATTGATAGGTTAAGTAGGTGGACAAAATGTCAGCAAATGCAGTCTAATGTGGAGAGAGCTGAAGCTGTTCATTTTGGAAGTGGGAACAAAAGAACAGAATATTTCAATGGAGAAAATCTGCAGAAAGCTGCAAAATAAAAGGGACTTGGAGGTACTTGTGCAAGAAACACATTAAGCTAGCATGCAGATGTAGTAAATAATCAGGAAGGATAATAGAAAGTTGTCCCTTATTTCAAGGAGGTTGGAGTATAAGTGTAGGAAGTCTTCCTGCAACTGTACAAGGTGCTGGTGACCCATGTCATATGGAGTAATGTGACCCATTTTTGATCCACTTATTTAAGGTCTCATTGGAGACCATTCAGAAAAACTTCATTGGGATGATCCCTGGTATGGAGGTATTATGAACAAAGGTTGAAAAGGGTGGGAATCTACTGCTGCAGAGTTGGGTAGAATACTTGTGGATTGGGAGGCACAAAGTTAGAATTTGATGTTTATAAAATGGTAGGGTGGGTGGAAAGCATTGCATGGTCCCTTTAAAAGATGATGTGATTTTTCTGTGCTTAGACTTAAAATGGATGTTTGTGAGCAGCAGCTTGAAAGTTTGTAAGTAGTCAGAGAGCACCCAAATTGAAATATTTGTATTGAAAGGCCGTACAGTTAGCAGGCCAAGCAGCAGTTTTACTAAGACAACAGGCTTTTGAATTTAGTCAATTTGAACCAGGCACTTAGATACCAAAAGTCAATTAAATTTAAATCTGATTGTTTTGAAAATATAGGACCGATCCTATTGTAGGAAATATTGATATGTCATCAAGGGTATAAAAGAAGAGGGTAGTTGGACAAGGACTCCAGAGCTATCTGCCATCTGTCAGAACTAACGGCCTTCAGCCCTCAACACAGAATTGCTGGCTCTCACAGCCTCTCCTATGTCTTAGAGAAAGTACCATCTAAATAACAATGGTACCAATGGCACAACTAGTTAATATTCCTGACAGAAGAATCGATGGAGAAGTTATTACTGACAAAAGAATTGACAGAAAAGGCACAGAATGTTCTGGGTGACACTGGATGTAATTTTGACAGACTAAATTCTACTTTTTTTATATAAGTGGGACTTGTATTTATAGGAAAAGCAATACCATTCGAGTCTTACTTTATTCGGGAATAGGTAGTAGTTAGAAGGCATGTATTCAGTTTGTTAATCATTTAGTTAATTTGTTCACTGTTAGAGTTAGATAAATAAATTGTTACTGGTTGATTGTTAAAGTGAGTGTCAGGGATTTATTTTGTTTGACCACTAGAAGTTGCTGAAAGGCAGGATACACCACTTTTCACACTCTTTTTACAGGTTATAGGGTTAGGTGCTCCTATTTGGGTGTTTTGGTGTTAGTTCTCAGGGTTGGGGGTCAACCTCCACTTTATAACAGTAATCATTGACATTTAGAAGATTGAGAGGTCATCTCATTGAAACACGTAGGATTCTTAAGCAGCTTGACAGTGTAAGTGCTGAGAAGAGCTTTCTCCTCTGGAAGAGCCTATGATCAGAGGGCACAGTCTCAGAATAATGTGATGCCAATTTAAGACAGAGAGGAAGGAGGAATTTCGTCTCTCAGAGGGTTGAAAGTCTTTGGGACTCCTTGCCACAGAGAGCTGTGGGGGCAGATTTATTTAGTAGGGGAATCAAGGGTTATGGGGAAAATGCAGAAAGTAGACTACAGGAATGTCATCAGCCATGATCTTATTGAATGGCAGAGAAGGGTCGAGGAGCTGAATGGCCTACCCCTCTTCCTGTTTTTTATGGTCTTAGGGGAAGCAATGGCCGAGTGATATTATTGCTAGACTACTAATCCAGAGACCCAGGTAATGTTCAAGGTGGAATTTGAATTCAATTTTTAAAAATATAGAATTAAAAATCTAATGATAACCATGAAGCCACCGTCAATTGTTGGAAAAACCCATCTGGTTCACTAATGTCTGTGTAGAGTTTGTACATTCCTCCCCGTGTCAATGTGGGTTTCCTCTGGGTGCTCTGATTTCTTCCTATGGTCAAAAGATGTGCAGACCATGCTAAATTGCCCATAATATCTAGGGATGTGCAGCCTACGTGGGATAGCTATGAGAAACGCAGGGTTACAGGGACAGGGTAGGGGAGGTTAATCTGGGTAGGATGCTCTTTGGAGAGTCAGTATGGACTCAATGAGCCAAATGGCTTGCTTCCACAATGTAGGGATTCTAAAATTCTAAGAATCTGTTGTCTTTACCTGGTCTGGTCTATACAGCACTCCAGACCCATAGCAAAGTGGTTGACTGTCAACTGCCTTCTAGGCAGTTACAGATGGGCAATAAAATGGTGGTGTAGCTATCAATGCCCCTATTCCTGAATGAGTAACACAAAAAGGAGGGAGGATCCTTGACAGAGGCACTGATGCAGGACCAGGAAGAGAACCACAGCAGGTGAGTCTCAGACCAGGCATAGATAGTTAAGATTCAAATTTGATGAGAACAGTCTCAGGAAATGATGATGTGGTCATACAGTCAAAGGCTGCTGATAGGTTAAGAAGGACAATGAGGAACAGGTTACTGTGTCACAGTCACACAATGTCACAGGAAGTTGACAAGTTGAGAAAGAGCTAGACAAGGCAAGAAACAACAGAACTAAACTTATAAAAGCAGAGAGAGGGAAAAATGGAGAAAGACAGGAGGAGAGAAACAAAAATTAGAGGAGGGAAGAGAGTGACAGACAGAGAGGGAAAGAAAGTGGAGATCAGACAGAGAGAGAGAGAGGTACAAACCGAAGTGTGTCTTCTGAACCTGCGAGAGTATTTCTCACTGTCTTCCTGCAGAGCCAGGAGAAGAAAAATGCAGGAGTTTGTGAACAGTTGTGTACAAGGGTACAGAAACAGTTAGTCAGGAATATTTCACAAACTGAAAACGGCAAAAGGATGATAGCTTTTAAAGGATGCATGCAACCCAAGATGTGAAAGATGTGGGCTGGAAGATTCATCACTCCTTATAGAAGGAAGTCAGAGCTGGAACCTGAAAGCCACATAATTTTCTATATGATGCCATTTTATAACTGAGGTGGATGAGACACTGATGGCACCAGGAGTGGTGGGGATGGGGGTGGGGAGATGTTGGCAGGGGGGCTACAGAGAGAAAGAGAGAGGGAAGAGGGGGAGTGGGGACATGGACACAGGAGCAGCTGAAATAGCTCCGAGGCCTTTGTGAGAGTAATGAGGCAACTCCCAAAAGCCTGACAGCAGGAGAGGACACTTTCATTACTTAATCTCCTTGAAAAGGTGCCAGCAAGAGAATACTTTAACATACAAAAACCATGGTAACTCATGCATAGGCTAGAGCACAGACATAATGGACATCAAGAAATTCCAGATGGTACAGTGATGCCCTTTGTGGTTTTCTATTTTAAACCGCATAACAGAGAATCAGGTTGTAGTTGAGACTAATATCTTGAAGTTTATTTGCAATATTAACTCGTTATATGGCTACAATATCATAGATTTACACAGCTTGTCTGGATTATGGTATTGACATTATACATACATGGCTTCCTGACTGAAGACACTACACTGACTCTAAGACATGGACAGAGAGTGAACACAGATGGGGGGTAGCTATCTTTACTCTGGAAAATCACACTTCGTGATGTAATGTGTCTCTTTCTTAAACGTACAGTCCTGTCTGGTCTGGAATCTATGTTATAATACAACATGAACACAAATATCTGGAAATATAGTGTTTGCAGAGGTACAGG